AGAGAGAGAGAGAGAGAGAGAGAGAGAGAGAGAGAGAGAGAGAGAAAGAGAAAGAGAGAGTGAAAGAAAGACTCAAATATGATGATTTAATGACGTATATTAAACTCCTTTCTCTCCCTCTCACGCGCGCGTGTGCTAGAAACTATATATTGAGGTGGCGTAGGTGCAGTAAAAGTGAATTTTGACAGACCTTACTTGGGAGGATTGAATAACAGAGAGAAAGAGAGAGAGAGATACTCAAAACAAAAATTAAAAAAAAAAATCAAACGATGAAGTTGAAAGAAGAACCAACGAACAGAAGCAAGTGCGAATAACGACAGTCCAGTATGTGTGCCCGCTTCCAGTAATGCCAATCAGGTTGATGTTGATATCACGACGACGATGACGATGACGACGCGAGCATGAGTATGCAATGTAATGCTGCCGACACACGGCCTTTCTTTCGGTAACACATACACGGACACATGATATATAATGCGTGTACGATCGTGTGCTTGTGCGGAACATCGTACAGCAATGAGCCACCACAATTGTCAAAGCCCATTCTAAATAGCACAAAAAGAAAAACGGACATAGCGTGGATACGCGTCTCGGCGAGTAACGGAAATAAGCTGGCTGATCAGCTCTGTCGAGAGAAATTAATTTATGGACACGATGTCGTATTATTATTACTCACGCATAGGCATGCGACGTGATACGCGAATTAAGGCGCGAGATGACTCAACGGGATGTAACGTGAGGAAACGGAAAAAGATAACGTTCGATGTAAGAATGAGACCAGCTATTTGCGAGAGCGTGCGTTCGAAGCACTCGAAGCGAATTCATTTCCTCCGCTGTACGCCGATCGTTTACTTTACTAAGCATTCTCCGTCGTTTGATTCCCGTCGAGTGATATTTACGAAGCCTGCACTTTATTCTACATTGAAATCGCGACACAGACTCCCTGACGTCACGTTTCTCCATTACTAACACGTTGACTGCCGCATTGACCGCCATGTTAATTGTACGAATTTAATTGAAAATCAAACTAGCGGAAATACAGTAAATAATGCAAGACGCGGGTATCTTTATTCTCACCGTTGAGATCGACACGGCATTCAACGTGCTAATAGATCTTAAGAAGAGCATCTTCTATCGCGTATCAGCTTCTGTTGCTCGTTTATGCGGTTACTTGTGGGCGAATCGGTGAACGAGTGGGACGTGTGTGCCTTTACCTGTTCTGAGCGATCTTTCTCAGCGTGTCCGGGCTTCGTATGAGCTTGTCCAGAGTCTGCGTGAGATTAGCAAAAGTGGGCCGATGGGTGCGCTCTTTCTGCCAGCAATCGAGCATCAGCTGGTAGATCGCCTCTGGACAATCCATCGGCGCTGGAAGCCTGTAGCCCTTCTCGATCGACTTGATTACATCCTGATTCGACCAGTTCCAGTACGGCCTCTCGCCGTACGACATCACCTCCCAGCACACGATGCCCATGCTCCAGACGTCGGAGGCGCTCGTGAATTTTCGGAACGCTATCGCCTCCGGTGCTGTCCACCGCACTGGGATCTTCCCGCCCTGAAGATGATTGAGATGAGATTAATTAATGGGAGACACCAACAAGATGCTCATGAACGTGCTGCTTTCCTAAACAACACAGACTTTTAAAAAAACATCTTAGAGGCCCTAAAAGATGCTTGAAAACAATAGGTTGTCTTTTAGACATCTCTAAGATGTCTTTTGAAGAATGCACTGTCTGTTGCTTTCCAATTGATTCCGAACTGATCTAAAGAGTCTGTCGGATTTGTCGCTCACCCTGGTGGTATAAGCTCCCTCCGTGGCGCTCTCAATCTCCCTGCTTAGTCCGAAATCGGCGATCTTGCAGACCAAAGCGGCGTTGACCAATACGTTCCGCGCGGCGAGGTCGCGATGCACGTAGTTCATTTCCGCGAGGTACTGCATGCCGCTGGCGATGCCTCGCAGCATTCCCACCAACTGCAGCACCTGGAACTTGCCGTCGTTCGCGCGCAAGAAGGTGTCCAGGCTGCCGTTCTCCATAAACTCCGTGATGATCATCACCGGATTGCTCTTAGTCACCACGCCTTGCAGGAATATCACGTTAGGGTGCTCAAACTGACCCATTATCGACGCCTCCGTCAGGAAGTCGTTACGGGCTTTGTCCGCGGAGCCTGGCTTCAAGGTCTTTATTGCCACGTCAATCTCCGTCCGTCCGTCCGGCGGTAATTTCAACTTCCCTCGGCAGACATCGCCGAATTCACCACCACCTACGGTCACAAAAGACAGAGAGATAGTCGCCAAGAATGTAATCAGGTCCTACACGTTCCAATTCTAACGCGGCTACATCAACATCGGTGTGTTATCGCGGCAATAATACATGTCGATAACCGTCGGCGAGAATAATACGCAAAGCGTACCTATGATGGCCTCTATCGTGATGTATCCGGCGTCGATCTCACGGGCGAATTCTCGTACCGCCTGATTCGGGTCCTCGTAGGTGTGAGGATCCACGTAGCTCCTCGCACCTGCACCGCCTGTGCCGCCTGCGCCTGCCGCGGCGACCCCCACTGCAGGTGTGAACAGCGGCGTGGTCACTGCAACGTCACGAAAACAGAGTTCATTATATTAACACGAGGGCCGGTGTGCGTGCGCGAAATTTTGATTGCGGAAACTTTAGAGACCGCGCGCCAGACATTCGCTCTAATCGTCGGCCAACCGTGTCATCCCGCACAAAAAAAAGTAACACTCACACTCATTCGCTCTCGTCAGCGAGTTTAAATTTCCACAAAAAAAGAAAACAAGAAAACCAAAAGATTAGACAAGACACAATCAAGAAAGCCAAACGCAGGTGGATTCTAAAAGTGATAAATCTCTCCTCTCTCAGTCTCATAATTAGCGAAAGAGTCGTCATTCTCTCCCTCCCTCCCTCTCTTTCTCTCTCCTTCTTTTTCTTTCTTTCCCTCCCTCTCTTCCTTTGTCGCTTCTCTGTGTTCTATCTTAGAATCTGGTCTGTTTTCATGTTCGAGCCGAGACCGGTGTATCTATGTACGCTAAAAAGTAAACGCGCATAGCCAATCAACACATGCCAATCAACGCACGATTTTTCGCATGCCCGTATGCCGAAAGTATCGATCGTCCGAGCGATCGTTGCGACACATCCGTAAAGTTCAGTGATCAACGCCCCGGACGCTCGAGATGATTCCCGTGTTCCCTCTCTTTCATTTCTTCTTCTTTCTCGTTCAAATTGCTACTTCGCTACCACTACTTTTGCTTTTGGTATACACTATTCTTTCCCTCGGTTCCCACTCGAATCGTCTCATTGCGTCCGAGCGCTTTCAACAGCGTATCGAGGTAAGAAGAGAAAAGCGATCGCGGAAAGCACGATCTCACCTGAGAAGAGAAATAAATAATCGGAAATGTAAAAGAAAAAAACTGGATGCAAGAGAACGTGATGCAATTGCGTGCGAGACACGGGGCCGCGGCATGCTTATTTACTTCTTTTCCGAACTTCTCATCCATATCGCACAACTAGGACAGTGAGTAGAAAGAACAGAGAACGGAGTGCTAGCGTAAAACTAAAGCGAAATCATAATCGTATAATACGTGCAGAACTCGGAGTAGTGAGTGTACGAGAGTGTCGGTGCGCGAGTTTCAGGTCAATATTTTAAATTTATCTCTATCGTTTATATATTGACTTTTTCATATATATATATATATATGTGTGTGTGTGTGTGTGTGTGTGTGTGTGTGTGTGTCGTTCACGGATATGTCCGCGCGTTTTTTCTCGGTCGAAGAACTTTGGCCGGAATTTTCTTGGGAAACAAAGGACTTACGCGAGGACTTGCTCTTGTTGTTGGTATGGGTTGTCACAATCGGTGAACTGTCCATTTTGCAGTGCACTGTGAACAACACAACAACCAACACACTAATTGACAAACAGCAAAACAAAAACGAAGCGGCGGGTGTTCGATGATGAATCTTTTTTTTATTCTCAATGAGCGTAAAAGCGAGGAACGGCAGAAATCAATAAAAAAAAAAAGACGATTTAACCGCGACCATTGTAAATGTGTGATTGAATTCACTGTTCCCGATAATCAATAATTAACGCGTTGACTCGAAAGGGAAGAAGCGGTAAAAGATATATTTTCTCCTCAATTCGTACATAGAGTTTCGTCCTTTCCGCATACACATGTTTGTCGTTTTTGTTCTTTCGTGAATTGTGTCGAATGTAACGAATGCAAGTCTAAAATAAGCGCATACAGTAATGACATCGACACACTGACAAATGATACGCATGCAATTAATACGCAACGTACAAACGATGCGACACAATGAACATACGCAAGCACAATGCGTGGGCACGCACAATGTTTCTAAAAAGTGAATTCGGTCATGTACAAAATTGTTCGGCGCGCACGTATGCGTGTATACATGTATAACGTATTGTTCGTTTTAGCGTGCACATATGTGTGTGTGTGTGTGTGTGTGTGTGTGTGTGTGTGTGTATGTGTAGGAATGTGATGTATGTGGTGATACGTGTGTGTATATTTATGAATGCGTGTGCAAAAGCGCAAGTCTGATCTGTTCGAAAGTGTTTTGAACGTTTTGGAGAGATGCATGTACAGGGGTTGCAAAAATAATCTACACAAAACTGAGTTCCTAGAAACAAAACTTGAGGTGTTGGAGAAGACTTACTGTAGGTCACAACTAGTCCTGTAGTAGCAGGCGATTGTGTACATTGTTTCATTGGGTTTTTCATGGATTTTTTCATGGAGGCAGGTTCGATAGATTAGGGGAATCGCACATGAAAAGAAAGAATCGAAAGAATTTGGTTAGAATAATGGCACTTAGGCAGCGGGCCAGATCGTGTGAATTTCGGTCGAAAGCGATTGTTTCTCATTTTACGTCCCTGTATATCGCGGGTATCTCGGAACCCGACTGCTTTCTCTCTTTCTCTTTCTCTCTCTTCGCTCATATATATATTTTTTTTCTCTTTACGGACGAACGTTTAGCTATCTGTCTTTTTCTCTCTCTCTCTCTCTCTCTCTTTCTCTCCCTCTCTCATCCGCAAAAAAATCTCTATGGTACGGGGGAATGTTTAAACGTAATTGTATAACGTGGGTCTGTCTGTATACGAGGGTACAGTTTCGACACTTGCTGGATCTAAGGGGGGTGTGGGGCGGCGAGGGGGCCAGTGATACTCCAATATATTAGTCACAAGACACGATTAGGCGCAATGAAACAACTATGAAAAAGGGGGGCGGGGATGATAACAGTAGCGAATAGTAAATCTTAAAGAGAGAAAAGCCGGTGCCGTCTCGGCATCGGACGAACGTACCTTCGCCGTTTCTGTACTCCAGGGTGTCGCAGTCGCTCGGCTGCTTCTTGTTGCACTCGTCCGAGGCCCTGCTGCATCGAAATCGTATGATATCAGTTGCATTCAGAGCGGAATAACTGAAAAGCAGCAACTTGACGCGCGCCCGATAAGCAGGCACGCACATTTCGATAATTCGCGCCAGCAACGGGCTGCTGTATCATCAACGTGCCGATACTACAGTTTGCAATTACGTAACCGAAGACAACGTCTCTCACGGACGTGCTTTCTTTTATTAGGTGTACTGAGAGCGTGATTCAATTACCTTCTGAGGATCAGTACGGTCATGATGATAATGATCACGAGGAGCACGACCACAGCGACGATCGCCCCTGCGATTATTCTAACTTGCATGTTATCGTTCTCGCCAACGTAGTCTGCGTAAATGCTCACATTAAAGATACGGCTCGGAGGATTGCGAAATGTATCCGAATGCCGCTCACCACTTACCTAGACCCATCGCGTGGGGTGTCTTCTTAAATACCACCGGCGTGTACTCGCCCCAGCCGCGGGTGGTCTTGGCGCGAACCTGTATCGCGTAATCCGTAGAAGGCTTGAGACCTTTGAACGTGGCGGACAGCTCGGACGTTTGAATGACGGTTGCATTAGTGGCGTCGTCGTAGCGCGGGTAGCACCTCACTGTGTCAGAGATATCGAGACGATTATAATCCCTTTCCCTGTGTTGCTGCTGCCGTTGCTGCCGTTCCCCTCCCCTCCCGTCCCCACCCTGCAGCAGCCCTTGGCGCGATCAAGGGACAATTTGGAATTGATCCCGTCGTGAATCACAGCGTGTCGTAATATGCACGTGGCCGTAAAAAAGTGTATCGACGCGACTAACCTTCGTATCTCTCCACGAGATCGCTGTCCCCGCCGACTTCGATGACCGGCGCGTCCCAACTGATACTGAGCTCCGAGCTCTTGACGCTCGTGATCCTAACGTTGCTCACCAGACTCGGCACACTCGCCTCCGTGGTAACGGTGATGTCCACGTATTCCGACTTGCCGGCCAACGACGATACTCCGTTCTCGGCGAAGACTTGGAAGCGATAAGTGGTCACCGCGTTCAGACCGGTTATCGTGATCTTCGTATCGTTGAAGATCTCCTGCGTGGCGAAAATCAAAGCGGCTCTGCGTCAAGTCTCTGACCCGAGAATAGCTCTCTCTCTCTTTCTCTCCCCCTTTCTACCTCTCTTTCTCTCTCACACACATATTCTTTCATATATACACACACACACACACACACACACAGATACTCACTCACTTAGATAGTAGCGGTAGTCGAGTAGCCGACTACTACTACTACTACTACTACTAGTAATCTCTACAGCTGCAAGTAGCCCGTGCATGCTCGTATACGCGTGTTATGACTTTGAAGGAAACTCACGGTATTGGGAATGTACTTGACGCCCGTGCTGCAGGCGTCGCACACTACTCTGTAAGTCGTATCGAACCTGCCACCCTGCATGTGCGGTGCGTTCCAGGAAAGGATCACCGTGGACTGATCGACAAAGTTGACGGTCAGGTTTTGCGGCGCCGAAGGTGGTTCTGCAAGAAGCATGATTCTTCAAGATTTTCGTGGAACGCAATCTCCCAAATTTTTTCTCCTTCTTTCTCATCTCCTGCCTTCTTCCTCGGACTATATGCTATATCCATTATATTAAACAGTTAATGCGCTCGCACATTGGGAAATTTGTCTCCTTAATAAATAGTGGTAGATAGTAACAGATCATGGATATATTGACGGACTTTCGTTACTTCTCTTTACACTTGACTCACTCTCTCGATGATTGAAAAATTTTAATATTTGTATTCTTCTAAACTACAAACTCGAACAATTATTTCATATTTCTAAACTTCCAAACTAAGACAGAGTATTGAATTCTAGTTTCTCAACTGAAAAGTTGTGATTCGAGGTTGAATGATTGGCATAAAGGTCGTTTAAGCTTGGTCGGAACAATACTTACGCGTGCAGGGCATGTTCTTGGGATCTTTTTCCGCTCGGTAATAGCTCGGGTCGCAACGACACTCCGTGAAACCGTAATCGGAGGCTTTGCTGTGCTCCGGACAAGGCTCGCAGATTTGGGAGCCCGGCTCGTGCTTGAATTTGCCTATCGGGCACTCCTTGCACTCCTGCTTGTCCTTGTCGGCCTGATAGCCTGGCTGGCAGTGGCATCCGCCAGTGGGAAGGTACCACTTTCCGTCTCCCTTGCAGAGGTAGATCGGATTGTCGATTTGGACGGCGTTGGCGACGCAAGTGCCGATCGTCTGCTCGATAAAAGTGACCTCGCGACCGGTCGGTGTAGCCGGGAAACGGGCGAAGTTCATTGAGACCTCTGGACAGCTGATGTAGTATACCTTGATGGCCAAGATCGATATGCAGGCGCCCTGATCACGAAACGCGAAGTAAACGCCCTTCTTCGTCACCGGTATCGATTTCACCTCTGTGTTTATCACCACCTCGGTGTTCGTATTGAATCGCCCTTCCCCCGCGGCTATGCGACCTGCAAATGTCAGATCATCGCTTTGGAAGAGCCGTCCCAGATCTCAAACGGGAACAGGAGACACACGCGGAAAATAAGAACTGTATCAGCCGCATAATTTCAAGGTTCACCCTTGGAATTTCTCTCCCGACGAATTACCGTTTCCACACACACACACACTACGTGTTCCCATCTGCGCGCCTCGTGATATTTCTTTTTTCGAGGTACGCAAGCGGTCAATCTGTTAAACCTGTTTTTCTCGGGACGCTATCCCACCGTTCTCTCCCTCTGCGCGGGGCGAACTCTTCAATTTTCACGCTTTATTACATCACCACTCACCGATAAGTTTGTAACTGTCCGGCTCCCACGGAGGCGGCTCCTTCGTAGCCGCGTCGAACTCGTAGTAGAGCAGACTGAAGGTCTCCTTACAGCTGAGAGCGTTCCCGGGGAACAGCGAGCAGTCGCGGGTCGTGAATTTGATTTCTATGTACATGCGGTTCGCCGGGCCCCTCTCCACGAACGGCGTCCACAGCCAATTGTTCACGTTGTTGTACGCCACGTCGCACACCACGTAACTCCGCCAATTGATGCCCTTGTCGAAGTTCGTGAAGGACTCCTCCACCCACTGTAACAGAAATACGAAAGACGAGAAATGAAAAGAGTGCCCTCTTGTACGATGATCTTTTCTTTCTTACTTTCTCGACTACTTGTCGATTACGACTAACGAAATCGGCCATTAGCCGATGTAGACTCGAGAGTGACAAAGTCTCTCGAGTCCTCGCGTCGAGGGCAGTTCGGCACTTGAGACTCTAACCTAGTTCTCTGTGTCGCCATCGAGGGCGAGGAATCGCTCTTCCGTTGTCGCCGTCACCGTCATCATCGCCGTCGCCGTTGTCGCAAATCGACATTGGCCGTAGCGTCCGTTCTACCTCGGTAAATGACGAGGCGGAGAGCCCAGGTCGTCGACTTGCGACAAACAGACCGCAAGGAATTACCGGCGCGCGTTACCATTAGTTTTATTGCCCCCCTCGGCTCTCGGGCTCGTCCCGAGGAGCGACCACAAAAAGTTCCGACCGGGGCAAGAAGGATCCATCGTCGTCGTCCTCGTCGTCACCTGAACACCTCTCTTTCTGTCCTCCTTCTCCTCCTCTTCCTCACATACATACACACACGCTCTCTCTTTTCCCTCGCCTCCTCTCTCTTCCATCCTTCTCTCTCTCTCTCTCTCTCTCTCTCTCTCTCTCTCTCT